AACTTCTGAATCCGCCTACTACACCTCTTACCCATCCTCTTGCTAGCTACTACTAGGAATTCTGCAAACCTGTTAAGTCCCAGTATTCCTCACGCCAGGAATAGAATGTGGGTCAATGCCAGCTCAGTGAGTTGACATGAGCTTACCAACTACTGCCGCCAAGTTACATTATAACTCTCCATGTGACACCATGACCGCAGGTTTGATATATACATGGTTACACTCAGGCATCGCTAAGGCCAGGGAAATCATTAAAATGGTCCTCCATGATGGGATATTTAACCAATCAGACATTTTCATCTCATCTGTCTCTGGTTTACCATCACTATTTGTGCCTGATTAAACTCGTTTTGCCTTACTTAAAAGTTGTAGGACAAAATAAACTTTATTGTCTGAATGACAATAAAATTGGGTGGATAAAAACCAGAGACTGCTGGTCAAAAATAAGTTTTCCCTCTGTTTTATTCTTATAAACTGGTGGCTTTTATTTATTCAAAGTAAACCTGTCGCCAAAAAGCAGCTACACGGTGTATTTCACACCAAAGGCATGAAATAGGAGAATTGGTGCTACTTCCGGTCGGACATTTATAGCGGATTAAATTAATTCACAGGTGTGCTTTAAATCCGCTTCAGCCAATCAGAACAAAGAGCAGCGGCCGTCGATTTCGCGACGAGGCTATAAAAGTACATGTGCTACTTATAGCCCTACATGTGGGTGAGGACATGAAGTTTGCCCACATGGTTGCTCGTGTGGATGATTTAATAAATGTGTGACATTAATCTGTGAGGCTCTTCCTTATTTTACATACTGATCCACATACATGTGTCCGTGATACTCTGGGCTGTAGAACAAGCAGAGCTAGGCCAAAAGCACCGACAAAGGGCCCGTTAATGTTTCTTTATCAACAGTTTGCCTTTGGATTAGACAGACACACAGACTTTCCCCCGTTACGCTACACCGCGGAGCCCTATTACTTAACAGAGCCGCCTGATCAATACCTTCGATCGGTTTGGAGGCCGGTTATTGTTTGGGGTCTTTACCTCACAGTCGTAGAGGTCCGTTAGCTGGTCGATAATCCACTCCTCCAGGTTCAGTCTCTTCCTCAGCTCTTTGCGGTCGTATTTGACGGTAACGCGTCCCTGCTTCCGAACTGGTGTCTCCGGCTCCTCCGTGGTACCGGCCGGCGTCTGGAAATATACCCGGGGTTGAGGGCTCGTCTCCGGGCTTGTTACAGCTGCCATTGTCGCTTGGTATGGGAAAGAGAAAAAATGCCCCCGGAGCTACAGAAGTGTGAAGTGAGCGACAGAAAGAAGGCAGAAAACGGTCTGTGGACGTGCGGCTCGTCGCTTTTCCGCAACGAAAAATCCCGGCTGGTGAATTTGTGACTTGGAAAAAAAATCCCCCGAAGAAGAAGAAGGACGGACGATGGACCTGATGCTTTTGTTGTCAAAAATCGCTCAAAGGGACATTCGCAGCGGCTGCTCGCTTCCACCACACAAAGGGGACCGACGGCCACGGAGAAACGTAAAGGCTAACCGGCTTACTGGGCTATTTACAGCATGCAAACTCTGCTTATATAAAAAGAGACGGCAGAAGAAGCAGAGCCGGCCTCAACTCTTTATTCAGTACAAAGAGAAATCACACGTCTCTCTCTCTCCCCCTCTATCTCTCTTTCTCTCTGTCCCCACGAGGAGTGCGTGCGCGCTCTCTGACCGGACTCGAGCGCATCCGACGTACCAGGGGAAAAAAAACAAAAAAAAAGCGGATAAAGAAAAGAGACGTTAATTACCATCCGCTTTCAAAAGCAGCCAACTTTTTAAACTTTATTTATTTTCCTTTTAAAATATATTTCCCAACTTTACCACGTGACCACCCATCCCCCGGAGTCCACATTCCTTTTATTAAATCGCTTCAAAACGCCCGTATAAGTGTTCCTCACAACTTCAAAGACTTGTGTTATTTACCCACGTGATCTGTTAAGATTTTTCCCACAGCCCAACTTTTGACAACCTGTTTGCCCTTTTTTAAATCGCCTGTTCTCCGTCATTGTGTGCATTCTCAGTAGGGTAGGGTACACATGCATTGTGTTGAACCAATACAAAAACATTCACACAAATTTATTTTTTCCTTCAAACACTTCCTTTTGCAGTTTCTTCACAACTGTTAGAATATCTCCTCTAGAATCTGTGAAATCTAGGCTATATGGGTACATTTTTCACGCCTACACCTCACTCTTTGTGAAAATAAGAAGCTTTCATTTCACAACACACAAATTATAATTGTATCCCATGTTTGCAAAATGTACTTTCTGCCCCTTGCAAGAGTGCAATCAGTGCCACGGGCAAAACGCAGCTGGATCTTCTTGTTTGCTTTTGAAATTTAACTTCATCTCTGATCAACTTGGTGAATGTGATCCACAAATAGGAACGCAGTGCAGTCAGATTTCTTCACAGTGTGCCCATTGTGGCGTAACAGCGGGGAACCCTACACCCTGGCTAGGCTGCTTAATAACAAGAGTTTTAATAATAACAGGAGCGCGAAGTGAAAGGGGGAAGTAAGGAGAGGGAGAGCGAATTCATAATGTCTCCGGCTTGCTCTGTTGGTGTGACTATAGTGGGTGTTCACATCTGCCAACATGTTCACATCAGTGTGTTTATGTGCATGCGTGAGTGTGTGTGTGTGTGTGTGTGTGTGTGTGTGTGTGTGCAGCTATTTTACAGACAGCCATGGCAACGAGACGTAGAAAAACCTGAATTATTCAGCGGGCATGTCTGAAACTTACAGTTGAGTAAGCACAGACAGGCCCGTACACGCTCATGTACGGTACACACACTAACATAAACATCCATGTGCGCTTACATGTGAAAAACACCAGTCACCTTTATAGAAGGAAACAATAGAGCTACAACAGGTCAAAGAGCAAAATCCAAACTATCTGTGTGCGTGAGCGCCAGTACACCAGCTAACTGGACTTGTAGAAACTGGCTGGGAAATATGGCTTTTTATGACGTCCAGTTAAACAGACCAGTGGAGAGGGAGGTCAGCATGACGGTAGTATGTAATGTTACAGCTCTGCCTGTACTGGTGAGATTGAAAAGGTACAAAGTGTGACAAATATGTTAAAACCTTATATATTCGACCTACAAATCTCAAACTTGCAAAGATCAGGAGCTTCTAAAATGAGAAGAAAGTGTGGAAAATGATGGCCTGTGGATGTGTGTGTGTTTCACAGTGGATCCCAGATTTGTTGTCCAACACTATTTATTATTATTTTGTTGTGTCCAGTCCATGGCTCCACTTCTCATCTGCGAAAAACATGTCAGAACATAAACCTGAAGCACACGGGCTACTTGAGTATTTTAGTTTTTCCTTAACTTTATACTAATTCTATTCTAATTCAGTAAATTAAATGTAATTTTTCAGTTTATTGCAGTTTTGTCTCCTTTAGTTACTTTTCTGTTTTACATTAAAAACATGACAGGAACTAATAACAAGCATACAAACCAAACTGGTGGATTTAAACTGAATTTGACCTGGTTGTTCATTAGTTTGCAGCTAAAAGATTGAAGGCTGATGTCTTTACATTTTCCTACCTTCACAGTTCCCCAATACTGATGCTCTGTATTAAAAGTCTCATAAGGTCAATATCTGATACAACTCAGAGAATATATGCATATACTGTGATAAAAATAGGTACATAGATAAATCCACTTTATGTTTCCGTGCAGGACTACAAATTAATGACATGCTGCAACGTTTTAGCTGAAACTATACTTATTTAGTCAGAAATTCACCCAGAAAGGCAGTGCCATCTGCTTTGTTTCTTAAAGAGGACATCCACGTGGGGGAGCTGTTGACGTGCTCTTTCCTGTGATGCAACACAGAGACAGACACAGGGAGAAACTCTCTGGTTAAGACTTATTTGTTTTAATGCACATGTCCCAGACCAGCTCCTTTGGGTTTACTAACTGCCTGAATAAATAAATATTGTTTATAAAAAAAAATAAAAAATGTGCTTTTCTATTTATTTCAATAACTGCCGCAATTTTGTGGAGCAATCTTGCTCTCTTTTCCCTTTTCTCCCTCCGCCAAAGTATTAAATCAAAGCAGAACCTTGCAACCTCTGCTGTATGCTGTGTACACAGTGTTGACTCACCTGTGCAAATACACCTGTGCTTAACACAGGCTACTGTGATTGAGGTGTGCACAGGTAGGTATCAGCCCTGTATCCTCTTAACAAGTGAGGCATAGCTGGAACTAGTATGTCCACATTCCTAATTATTGCACAATCAATCTTGCAATGAACAAAAAGAGACAGTAGTGTTGCTGTGCAGCCACTAGATGGCATCATAAGATCAGATTGCAGTTGTAAATGGGCTTCGCGATCAGTAATCTATAATAAATGAGTGGATTCCCCCATAGGGAGCTCTTGGGGGCATTGGGGAGCTCTCATCTCATTTGGAAAGAGTAGACTCCAATGAATGGAGCTGCACCACAGGTAAATCAAAGTTCTTGTAATGTGAGTCTGCATTGTGTCTGAATGCCTCTTGGGATGTTGGGGGGCGGGACTGTAATCAGCACATCGCCTACACGCCCACATGATAGCTTTTCTCGAGAACACATTGACAATAACCCCGCGGTGTGGTGGAGACAGATGGGTCCGGCCTCCAGTGAACCGTCACCATCTTCAGGCCAAAGTCTCAGCAACACTGTTAACAGTAATCTGATCAAGTTTTCTCTGCTACCGTTGACTGAGTCAGGCCTTTCCCATTAAAGCTAGTCTGTGCGCTGTATATGCTTCTGTGCGCAGAGCGAGGCCAGTGTGCGGAGAGACAGTGAATATGCCTGTGTGTCTTTGCACAATGTGTCTTTGTGAGTTCTTTGCTTTGCGTTGGAGAGAAAGATCTGGCTGTTACTAGACTGAGAGGGAAAAAGATCTGGGTAGTGGTGGTGGGGTCTTCCCGTTCTCCACATCTCTTCTATGTGTGCCTTATTTTGTTCCATTTTTAACCTCTGTTGCCTTTTTTTTGTCTCTTTTCTTAACCCTCTTTATCAGAAAGCTATTTTGATCATCTTTAACTTTCTTTATTCTCCTTCTCTCTAAATATCCAACTTGGTTTTCTTTCTAACTGTGGGTAAACCAAACTGTAAGGAAGAATAAAGATTCTGACTTCCTTGTTGCATGAAAACTAAATGCCTGAGCGTGATTAGATCTCGGACTCACTGCAGTTACGTTTCCAGTCAATGCGCCTTCCATTTCACGCTTCTTAGCAAATGATACTTCCTTTTGCTTTGCCTGTCCTCCTTTGCATAATTTCCTTTATTCTTCCACTGAAGTAGTTGATGGGCAATTTAATTAAATTTCAGTTTTATTTACACTGAAACGCCAAATCACAACAGCAGTTGCCTCAAGGTGCTTTATATTGTAAGATAAAGACCAACAGTGACCACTATGTGCAAGCAGATGGTGACAGTGGGAAGGGAAAACACCCTTTTAATAGGAAAAGGTTTAAGAAGGTTTAGTCTCACCTTAGACACACACACACACACACAC